TTCTTTAAAAATATAGCCATAAAATTTACATTCTTAAATCCTGCATGCAGAATATTCTATTGATCAGTCTTTTTCAATACTTTTCGAGTTCCATGCATTTCAAATGGATTCGTGTCGTTTAATGAATAATATCAATGATTATAAATTAGTTTCAGTATTTTGTGTCATATCAAAAATTGAATCGTATTAAAACATTCTTCTATATATTTGAAACATTCAATAAATATTTAGTATTAAATTAAATGTGTTCATTTGATCGTGTTGTCTTTATTTTCTCAGTGTAGCGACCCTTGTTGCCTATCTGGTTTGCTTTGTCTGGCTCTCACTTTGTTTATCATATTTGCACCTGGATGCGGCTCTCACACGCACAGGATGCGGCTCCCGCACGCACAGGATGCGGTCGTGATCGCAGCCGCACGCTGTGGCGGCTTTTTCGCGGTGCTGCGCTTTTGACTTGACGGCCATCATGTGCCTCATGCAGGCATGGTTGTTGTTGAAGCCGCTCCCTTTGTTGTTATTGTTTTGGTTTGCATTTCGTTTGGCCTTAACGCGTCTGTGGCTTTGCATCGTTTGTTTGAGTGTGCATGATTTTTTGTGCAAATCAAATTGCTTGCGCAGAAAAGCGTGGTATGATTTTTAAGTCTATCCGTTCTCTGTTAAATTCTCCTTTCACACCAACGCAATCATATAGACACACATCTCAATAATTTCATTGGGGATTTTCGCACGTTATAAAACACTCAGCAAGGCCAGCAGGCGATGATGACGACGGCAACGGCAACGCCAACGCCAGCCTCGACGTCGATGTCGATGTCGACATTCAGCACTCTGAGTTATTTTTGTGAAATGGCAGTAAACATTTTTGCCAGTGGTGAGAAAATGCGGTGTTCTGGGGGCACATAAATCAATCAAACGTAGGCAACACGCTCGCCTGCCTCATGTATTGCAATGCAGAGACACGCACACACGCAAGCCCGCCCACACACGCCCACATCCACGCCCGCAGACACGACGCACACATTTTCAATTAAAAATTTGCATTGAATTTGTGCCGCCAGGCACTAGCAAAAGTACTCGTATGTACATATTAGCCTTCTCCTTTGGTTTGGCAGCCTCTCAAAACTTTCAATGTGGCCATGATAATTGTTCATTTACGTTAAAACATAAATTAATATTAGTGCCTTTTGTGGGAGCTACGTTGGTCGTCTTGTGAGCACATCCTCAAAAAAAGTTCATATTTATTAGGAAAGTTGCATAATTTATTTTGAGAATATTGTTGATCTTGAAATGTAATTATTTAATTACAAACAAATATAATAAACGATTGAGCTTCTTAATAAACTGAGATGAAAGTTTATCTAAAATTAAAGTAGGATTTTTGTGAGATAAAAGCTTATGATGAAAGCTATATGCAATTTACAATGTCCTTTACTGAATCCATGAAAAAAGAACTAGATTCCAAAGCCATGGGTCGAACTGTACTCCACCTAATACATTTGAATTTCCCTTGTTATTCTGATCGGAAATGTATCTATAACATATGGTGTTCTATTCGTCCTTTTAGGTGTTTGTCAGTAAAAAGATGTATAATAAAATTCTGCCACAAAGTAAATAAGATGTGTCAGTTAAATAAAGTGAGAAACAACTTTTTAGTTGCCTCCAGTTTAAGTGTTCTTTAAATTTATTTATTTTTCTAATCGTCAACATATTATTCGAGTGTAAACCTTGCATATTGTATATAATTTAACTTTAAAACTAATCATACTCCGACATATACAAGAAAAATGTAACCCCAGCCTATTCAAGAGTATTCGTAAGAAAAAAGATATTAACTGATTTTTAAAAATGATTTCTATCTACCAAATTCATCCTCATCAAAAATATATAATGAAAAAAAAAGAAGCTTCCATTATATCTAAAACTTTGATATCAGTTTTATTTAGAATTTACTCAAAGAGTCGTCTGATCGTCAACTAAAAATAGTTAACTATCTGGCTAAGTGCTAGAAAGCACTGCTGTCATTAATGACAATAATACTAAACTACACTACAAACACGATTCCAAGTTGCTAGGGTAAAAGAGGAGGAAGTCTAAACTGTGATGCTTTAATTTACCACATGAAATCTGTTTTTATTTAAAAACTAGAACCCCTATTTTACATGTGGATTATAGCTTTAGTTTTCTGTCTAGCTAAAATCTGTCCACTTTTTTTGCGTCCGGTCTTTCCAACAGTTTCAAAGCTCGTGTATTTTGCAGTACTTTCGTGCACGCCTTCTCTCTGACTTTCATTTTCAAATGCTCTCTAAACTCAATTGTTGTTAAATGCCTGGGGCGCCACTGCAGCCCTTTTGTGGATAACATTTTTGGCTTACAGCTACATAAATGCACCTTGGAGGCATTTGCCTTCGGCTATATGCTGGAGTCTGGAGCCAAGCAGCCGCAGCCGCAATCCACACACCCTCTCATTTTTCCACATTGGTCACTTCGACCCGTCTGGCTGGTCTTTATGACCGCTTATGGTCGTCGCCATGGCTTGTCTCTGTTTGCCTTTCTAGCTGCCGTGGCCTATGCTGACTTGCTGCTAATGGATTTTAAATGAGCATCATAAATACTAAACTAAAATTGTTGTGAGCCGCCTATCTGCCCGTTACCCGCAGCCATTCGTAGAGACTCTTTTTATATGGAAACTCTGGGTCTGGGTCCGGGTCCAACTCGTCTTGACTGTTCATTTCTTCATATTCCACTTAGTTGTTGTCATTTATTCTTGTTCACTGTTTGTCTACCCCCATCCACCTCCTTTCGCACTCTCTCTCTCTCTCATGTTGTCTGTTATTGTTGTTCGTTGTTTGTGCCTCGGCCGCTTTATGCTGCATGTGTGTGTGTGTCGACTTTTGCCAGCATTTCTCCGTTTGCTGTTTATTCTTGTTTTGTTGTTTTTTTTTCCGTTTTGTAATTCGGGCGGTTTGCTGTGCCAAATAGCAGAGACTATAAATATTTGTTACGCTGACGTTGTAGCTGCATGCGTCACACGCACACACACATACTCGTGTGTATACACGCACACATGCACTTTGTGTTATTGTTGCTGTTGTTGTTGTTGGTATGTGTACTTTTGCGGCTACAAATCCGGCGTGTATAAAAATGACTGCAATTTATGTTTTCCTATGAATATATTTGCGCCCGTCTGCCTTTGCTCCCTCCCTCCCTTCCTCCTTGCACCCTCCTTCTTTTGCCTTTTATTACTTTGCGCGATACTTGTTATGTGCCACCATCAGCAGCAACAACAACCACTCTCCGTACTTTATTTGATTGCATAAATTTATGCAGATTTCACAACATGTCATTTTTAGTGATTTTTATTAAATGAAACTAACGTGACAAGTACATTGCGCATACGCAGGGTATGTCGCTCAGAAAAAGCTACCATAAATATTGACACACACTCAGAAAAATATGCTTTCAATTGAATTTTTAAAAACTTTGAAAAGCTTAGGGCTCACTAAGCAGATGTGATGAATTAAATATATGGCCATGGGCCATTAAATTATTCAAACTGTATATGACACATGCTTGAGTTTTGTTGAAAGTGCAGAGAAGGGTTTATTTCTAGATGTAATCAAAATTAAACTTATTTCAATTTTCCAATGCACCAAAGAAAATTTGAAGTGCTTACTAAAGTTGAGATGAAAAAGGATTGGTTTAAAACAAAATTTAAAAAAATTTATAAATTTATACAGTCGACAAAAAATTTGTTTTAATAGAAAGAATATAAATATTTTTTATTGGAATGAGTTTTTTTAAATGTATTTAATTAGTGGTACTGCCTCGAGGTCAGTTTAGTTAGTTTATCATTTTGATAACCAAATAGAGCCATATGCAACACTACAAAATAGTGATCAAGATTGATGGATAGCTCGAAAAGCTCTACCTCCCTCATCATCAAAAGACGCTGGAGTTTAGCTGACAATCCAACAAATGCAGCTGGTTTTTATAAATTCCAAATTTTAGAAAGACCTGACTTTATGAATAATTAGATATTATTCATTTTGAATAAAATGAAAATAAATTTTAAGTAATCTGTCATGTGCAAAAGCTTTAAAAGGACCCACCAAGTGGAATAATTTGCAAATACCTTATTGAAGAAATGTTTATGTTATATTATATCTGTATTGACGAAGTGCAGATGACGTAAGGAGTATACCCAAGGCTATACCCTGAACTTGTTAGAAACCTCTGATACCATGTATCTGTTTCAGACTGTACTCAAATACACAAATTATGCCGATGGAGTGTGGGGAGGGATGGCAACTAAAATGTTGTGTGGGAGTTGCTTTCCATGTTTGTATTTATTTGAAATTTAATAATATCAAAAAATGTTGGCATGTTGCGTGCCGTGCCGCGCTGTGCCGTGTCGAGCGGCTGCCAGCTGCTGTGCATTGGGCCCCCTAAAGACATGTCAGCTAATATGACAAGTTGAGCGCACGCCCAGCAGCCAACGCAGTGGTAGTTATTAAACTACAGAGGCAGCCCAAGGCACGGCATGTGACTGAAGAACGACAAGGAGCAGTGACCATTCTAGTAGTTGGCCAATAACTAACAATCAGGAGCTGAAGCTGAAGCTGGCGCTTGTCCTGGCGGTAGTGTGGCCGCCCGCTCACAAAACATATGTACATACGTAGTATATAGACGGAAAAAGTTCAGTTGAGTTCAGCTGACATGGCCGACATTCGGTCACGTTGCGGAATATAAGACCTACAATGGATGCTGTTGTTGCTGTTGTTGTTGTTGTTGTTGTTGTTGCACGTATGCGTAACCTTGCCGACCAGCTGACCACGAAGAGCAATTTGTCGTCAACTGCTGCTGCAACTTTTAATTACAGAAAGAATAGAGAGAATGAAGGACTAGCCATAAATTTGGGTATGGCAAGTTGGTCTGTTCGTGCTCCGGTTTCCCTTCCCCTTCGCTTCCTCTTTGACCCAAAGCAATACTTTTTTACTTACAGTTGACATTCAGCGCCACGGTTGTTTCCAACGAATGACCCTCGGGCATGGCACGATTCCAAACGACGCATTTGTATTTGACGCCATCGTCGGCGCGTCGTGGTACAATCTGCAGTGTGGCATTTGTGTAGTGGTTCTTGGAGCCGCCCTTCAGTGCATAGGACTGCAGGGGCACGTTGCTGCCCTCACGGTACCAGCTGCAAGAAAAAAAATGTATATAAAAAATACCAAAATATACATAGAAGAGGATGAAGAGTAGAAGACAGCGAGTGAGTGCCAAAAAGTATGGAACGTCTGGTGATTATTAATGAAGGCGTTTTGTCCTGCCAACCGCAGTCACAACCCCAACCACAACCGCAGCCGCGCTAGCGACACAAAAAAAAACCCGTTAAGTGATTTAGTTGCTGCAGGAAGTGCTTAAACTGTCGTCGCTTTTCTGCATCAGCTGCTCTAATCGTTTTCGGACTACCATAAAACAGCTTTATAAAGCCAAACACAACGCGCAACATCAATTTTAATTTTGTGAACTTCCACCCCCGACACAGTTTTACTCACGTTATCATCGGATCCGGCGAGCCTCCAATGCTGCCGCAAGTCAGCTCCAGGGGTCGCTCCTCGGTAGCGATGGCTATGTTGCCAGGAGAGACCATCGGTGGATGCGGTGCCGTCAGAACCGTCAAGTTGTAGAACTCCTGATGCACATCGGCGCCGGTGCCTTTTGCCTTGATGCGGCACTCGAAGCGTCCGTTGTCGCGGTTGTAGGATGTGTTCTTAATTTGCAGGTCGTAGATGCCACGCGCCGGTCTAAAGTCCAGGCTGTAAGCACAAAGAGGACAGGGAATGAATAAAAGAACGAGCACGGCGGCAATTCATAAAAAGCAAGGCAGTGAAAAATGGAACTTTTATTTCATGCAAATTGACTGTAGCATACAACCAGAATGCCAGTCTGATTTACAGCGAAAGCTGCCAGGGTGACCAATCTTTTAAAATGCTAAACTGTAAATATTTTTTTTGCTATATGGACTTATATCAAATCGGTTAGATTTGTATATAATTAACAATGTTATTTATTTATTTTGTAATCTCTATTCTAGCGTTACAAGTATTAGCTCACTTTTAAATTAGTACGCTAGTTATTCACGCTAGTACTTTAACAATACATCCAATATTAACTAAAAGTACTTTTAGGTTACTCTCATTTACTTATTCTTTTGCAAATGTGCTTGATTTCTATCTCTAAAATACGCTTTAGCTCTCTTTATTTTCCAGTTATGGTGTAACTCCTTCCACATACGAACAGCGAACACAAAGAAGGGCCCTTCTGAACAGGATAATCTTCACAACAGTACAAGCGGCCAAAATTTGCTTTTAAATATAAATACATTTAAAGAACTAGGCATCGGCTTTGCATCGCTTTCAGTAACTAGTGGCTGATGGTTGTTAATTTCAAATTATGTTATGGAAGCAATATCTCTTTTATCTACATATCTGAAATTTACAACTCTATTGCGGCTTTAATTAGTAAATGTATCCATATGTATATTGTTTCACATTTCGATTTTTAAATAAAGTTTATTTGTTTCTTATTTCTTAGATTTCTATATGCAAACGAAATCCAATATATTATTCCTTAATATGAATATTTTCAATTCATTGGAAGAGCCCAAAATATTACTTCAACAAAAATTCAAAAAATGCTTCTGGAGAGATACTTATCTATTCGCTGTACTACGTCCACAATTAGTATCCAAGCGATATCTACACCTGATTATGGTCACCTTAAAAGCAGTTGTATTTATTTGAATGCTTATGTTTTTTAAGTACGTCGGGCAGCTGTAAGTTGTTTTTTTTTCACTTTGTTCTGGATCGGGCGGCAGACATGAGAAATGCTTATGGCAAATTAAGCGTCGAACTCATTTCGTAAAATTTATTAGCACAATTTGAGGGCAGTGGCCTGCGAGGCATCCCCAAGGCTGAGCCTTCTTAAATGGCGGCAGTTAGATGCTGGGCTAGGCTTTAAGTTCAATGAAAACTCAATCAAGTGTGTGTAATAAGTTGGCGCACACAAACCAGAAAGCATACTTTGTGGCGTGCGCATTTAATTTTAATTTCTGAGTCGTCGTTGCTCTGAGCCTTCAGCGACATCAAAAATGCTTTTTAATAAACATGTGTTTGAGCGCATGAGGCAGCCTCCACCATGGCCCTCCAAACTTGCAGCTTCATCGTCTACTATTTGCCCAAACAACTTTTTGTATTTAAGTTTTAATTTCTCGTGATGAGATTTTTGCCTCAACCGCAAGATGTAAGGAAGGCGAAGGTGGAGGTGGCGGTGTCGGTGGCGGTTGGATCTGTGGCGTCATTCAGAGGCACAAATCATGCACTCGACATTATTAAAGTAGATCTTATAAACTTCTTGAGTGCATGCAAAGAGCGAGGCAAAGTTTTTAAATAAAATTTCAATTTTGATAACTCTTCGCCATAAGAGTGCACGAGTACGATGGCAAGTTATATGGCAACAACGTGCGCGAGTATGTGAGTGGGAGTGTGTGACACACATGTGCACCATCTTGAGCTTGCGCTGCCAGAGTGCAGTGCCAAATGCGCCGCACTTCCGTTGAGCCAGCGCACGAAGGCAGAAGGAGAGGTTGAAGTAGAAATAGAAGCAGCAGCAGCAGAAGGCGAATGCTTGTCAGGGCTAGAAATGAAAGCATTTTTACGTTAGCTGAGATTTTTGCGTTGCATTTCCGGCATTTGCTGCAAAGACTTTTATTACACCGTGCTCGTTCCTTATGCATCGGGCTGGAGCCGATGTTGCCTCGTCTCAAGTTGAAGTACTGGCGTGCCGGCTGCAGCTCAAGCGAAGCACATAATTGCCTGCACAGGCAGCGCTGCAGCCCTTTGCCACTCTGCTCCCCACTGCGCAGCCCTGCCCAAAGGCACTTAGAGAAAAATAATGATTGAATGTACCTGATAATAGAACAATTCTCTTCCTTCTATAAAAATATATTTCGAAAGATGGAAATTTAAAAAAATAATTTAATAACAATTATGCAAATTCAAGAAGAGTTATGAATTATATATAGTAAATAAATGAAATTGTTATTTAAATGTGGGTTCAACAATATTTTTTGAGTCTTGTAAACATTTTCGGATGTTTAAAGGTATGAAATAGTAATAGTAATGGATTAAAAACGCTTGCCGCTAAGAATGTTTTATCCAGCACTTAAGATTTTTTATTTACTTTTACATTGAATTTGGGATGGAATATTTTGTCATTGCAGAAATATTTGAAATCTGTAATGCAATGAACTAGTCTTTTGCTCAATTAATACAAAGAATTTACATTGCAGAATTTCGTCACTAGTTCTCTTCTATTAAATGCAGCTAGATTCAGAAATGTGAAGTCAAAATCGTAGAGAATAAATATTATTCCTATGAAAACACAATGTCTTCATCCAAATTTATTCAAATTTAACAAAAGGTGTACACAAGTATATATTTAGAATTCCTGTACCCTTCTACTTCTTATTTATTGTGATAACAGAATATTTTGTGGCAAAATTTCTTTGCCATCGATTTTTTTCCTAACCTTGGGTAAATATAGAATTAAATCCAGAATTCACAGAAATTCCCTTGCCACTCAATAATTAATTAAATATATATTTTTTTAAGTGTGCCTGCTTGGCTATAGCCTATGATTCGCCATTGCATGTCCTTGGTAGAGAAAAGGAATTTCTAATGTGAAAATAAGTGGCGTTGCCTGCGCTGTCGACGTTAAAGTCGTCGTCTTCGTCATCGCTGCCTGCGCATTTGCTGCGTTATTATGTTGTGATTGTGTTTCGTCGTACAGTACAGCTCACACACACACACATACTCGTATATATGTGCATACATACCTCTGTACATATGTGTATATGGATGGTGTGTGTAGATTTATGCAAAACAGTCTCAGAATTGTTATGCAAATTGCAGCCAATTACACGAGTTTACTTGCCTTGCCATTCTGTACAGAATGTACTCTCTCTGCCTTGCCCAACCCTGCCCTGCTCTGCTCTGTGTATGTATATTTATGTAGGTATGTGTGTGTGTATGGGCATTTGTCTCCCCTTTTGTGTGTGTACACACTGCCAAGTGTAGCGTAAAAGTATTGAACAATTATTTGCCAAAACGGAGCCGCCCACTTGGGCGCTTAAATGTAACTAAAGCTCTTGAGAAAGAAGGCGAGGAGTAAGAACGGGCAAGCAACTGCAGCTGATTATGTTATTATCGGTTTAGTATCGCTCTTATATCCTCGTATCTCGTCTTCTCTGCTCCGCTCTGCTCTTCTCCGCGTTGCTCTTTTGTCGCCCTATGCTTGGGTGTATGGAAGATAATTCAATTTCTTGCCTTATTCGCTTAATTTGAAGCAGCAGCTCCTTGAGCTTTTTCTTTTCTTCGCTACTTGCGGCCTTGCATGCCATGGTGTCGTCAATGTTTTGGCACCTACACTTATGGCTCATAAAAATAATAAACTTTTTGTAGCTTCTGCTGTTGCTACTGCTGCTGTTGTTGCTACTGTTTTTGTTGGTGTTGCTTTTGCCGTTGCAGCCCCTGCTCGCCTTGGAAGCAAAACAAAAAAAAACAAAGTTGGAAAAAAGAAGCGCGCAAAATTTAACACGCAGCTTTGGCGAACCCTCAACGATGTGTATATGTGCGGATAATTGACTTTTAAAATGTGTGTGAGTGCGATATCAACAACAACAACACCAATAAGCGAAACAAAAAGGGTCGTGGGCTATAATTAAACGGCATATTGTCACGCGTGACTGCGAGGGGAACAGATGGGCGAGCAGACTGACAGTCAGGCTCCCTGACGGAGATGGGGGCGTGTCAAGGCCAAGAAGGGTAACTGTTGATGTGACGTACTGACTGTTTGCTGTGGTTGGCGTCCTTCTTGTCATTCTTTAAATAAATGACGGTGTTTGCGCCATTAAATTGTAATTGTTGCTGTTTTGTTATTATGGTTACAGTGATATATTATATATATATATATATATATATATATATATATATATATATATATATATATATATATATATATATATATATATATATATATATATATATATATATATATATATATATATATATATATGTGTGTGTGAGTGTTTTGGGGATTAGGTGAAAAGCATTATTAGTGACAAAGTTGTAAAGAGGAAGTGAAATGAAATCACAAAATAGGCTTAAGATGAGCATGTAAGATGTCAGATTCTGAAAAAGCAGATTAAAGATAGATGGCACACTAATGAGCAAAGTTAAGTAGCTTAAAGACTGACTAAGTACCAAGACGTTAGATAAATGTGTGCTGATAAACGCAGGCACTACTTGTATGTTTAAAATTCCCATTTCGATTAGAGCGATTACAATGAAATTTAAGAGACTTTTAAAGTGCACTGAAAGCAAAGAACTGTGGACTCGACGCAGTAGCACACATTACTAGCTAAGTATTATTTTCATAATCCAGCGTATTCATCCACACACTTTGCTAAATTGGCCAAAAAATAAATTAAGTTCGATTGCTGGCCAAGCTGATTAATAAATTTGCTTCAATATTTCTTATAGCATTCCGAAGTATTCACATTCGTGTGTTAAGTACCAGCCAAGGCATTCGGCATACATCATGAACAATCACACAATAACCACCAACCACAACATTCATCAAGTTATTCACACAATTTCCGGCGTCTCATTTGGCAGAGATGTGTCTATGTGTGTGTAAGGCCAGTTTCAGTGTTGAAGCGAACCGGCCCAGTGTCCGGCCCAGTGTCCAGTGGCTT